AGCAAAAATCTGGAAACAGCTCAGGTGCCCATCACTAGTTGAGTGGATAACAATGCTGTGGTACATTTCTACAATGGAATACTATACAGCTGTTAAAAAAAAAAAAAAAAAAAGAAGGATCTCTTGCCGTTTGAGACAGTATGGAAGACCTGGAGAGCATTATGCTAAGCAAAATAAGCCAGTCAGAGAAAGACCAGTATCACATGATCTCACTTATATGTGGATTCTAATGAACTCTGTGCAAAATAAACTGATGATAACATAGAACCAGAGGCATAGAAACATGGAACAGATTGATGAATCTAAAATGAAAATGAAAAGTAGTAGTAGGAAGAGATTATCCAAAGAACGTATATGTATAACCCATGGACAAAGAAAACAGGGTGGTGAAGGCCTCAGGTGGGGTGGAAACCCAGTGGAGGGGCACAATGGGGAAATAAAGGTGGTGACAGCTGTAATACTTACAACAATAAAAGGTTGGTTTTTTTGTGTGTTTTTTTTTGAAGGTGTAGTAAATTTTCTCACTCCTTAAAACTGAGCTGGCCTATTACTTTTCTGGCCAATAGGATACAATGCAAATGATACTATCTGCACTTTGAGCTTAGGTCTCAAGTAGTCTTCCAGCTTTGTTTTGCTCCCTTGCTACTGAGAATCCTTCTGTAAACTATCCAGGGCTAGCCCTCTGGAAAATAAGACACTTTAAAGAGGTCCTATCTGTCCTAGATGTCCCAACTATGACCTCATACACGTGAATAAAGCTAACCCAACCCAAGCCTGCCCAGAGAGAACACATCCAGCCACTAGGAGAAATAATGAATATCTACTGGACTTTTTTCTGTATCTCCTTCAATGGTTTATGTTTTTTATTTTATTTTTATTTTTGACACTATCACAGATGTACCCCAAACAACTACTGTTTTAAATCACCAAGTTATAATTTGTTATTTAGGAAAAATTAACTGATATATAAATCAATAGAAAAATATGTTTATTTTATGCCATTAGAACATTTACAAAAAATTTAATATTATATTGGATTTCCATAAATAGCCACCAAGAATTTTACCCACTCTGTGCAAATTCTCCCCTTGAATATGGGCTAGCCTTATAACTTCCTTATAAAATATGGTAAAAAAAATTTCAAGGACTTCTGATCTCAGTTTATAACAAGCTTATTGTTTTTGCTTTTGCCTGCTTGGGTCCCAGTCACCATGTAAGGAAGTTTGGGCTAAACTATGCATGATGGGAAGCCAGACATGTGAGAGAAACTATCTTGGACATTTCCACCTCCAGCTGAGTTCCCAGTTGAATGTATCCATATAAATGGCATTAGTCAACATGCCATCAAATGGAGACAATGACCAGCTGAGTGTGGCAAACCCACAAATTGTGAGGAATAATGTCATTATTGTTTAAGCCACTAAATTTTGGGGTAGTTTGATATGAAGCAATAGAAATACCTAAAAGCAGGTGTTGCAACAACAAAAACTTAAAACATGTGGCATTGGCTTTGGGTTCAACAAGTGAGCAGAAGCTGAATGTGTGGTAAAGAGACTATTAGTGAAAACCATAAAAATAGCCAGAAGGCTACAGGTGAAGACTGGAGGAATGGCAAACAATCTGTTAGTAGAGGCTGTATAAGGCAGTGAGGTTGGGAAATTGAAGGGTAGAAAATACTGAAGGCTGGCAAAATGAGAAGGGGCTCTGTTATACAGTGAGAGAACAATTAATAAAACTCAGGCCTGGAGTAACCTGGAAGTTTAAAAGCATACCTAATTAATGTGTGGATCTTGCTAAAGATATTTTCAGCCAGAAGGCTAGAAGCACTATTTGGTTTATATTAGTGATAATACAATAAGGTACTGCGGAAGAGAGATGAGCTGAAGAAAGAACTTACAAAATTACAAAAGTGTGGTCAAAGACAGAATCTCTAGCCTGCAAAAAATACTCTCAAAGTAAATTATTTTAATGCAAAGATCAAAGTCATGGTATAGACAATAAAATGGAGCTTCAGCGTCAAAGTTAACTCAAGGTTGTGGTTACAGACCCTTAGTTAAGACCTCAAATGTATTTGAATATTCATGGATCCTCCATACTAAATAAAACGTATAGTGGGGTTATTGTCCTGATATACCTTAAATGAAAATATATCTATCTCAGAATTATGGGCTTTTGAGTAAAAGAATGAACCACAATAACACACAAGGAAAACAAAGTGTTTAAGAGGAACACCATCATATTAAACTAAAAAGGACAGAAATATTTCAAAAATACATTTGTCTTTTCTCATATCCACATGATTAAGCTGCTAATCACCCACTAAGTAGATACTTGGCTGAACTAAATGTACTTTGTTTCTATAACAAATAAAATGAAAATCAAAATTTAATAAAACAAAAAATTATATCAATTTATCTAAGTATGATTTTGTTAAATACAATTCTGGCTACTAGCTGCTAGTATATATGGTATCTTTGATGAATTAGAAACATTCATCTTTCAATCAGTCAAATACCAGGATGTACAGTTGGCAAGTAAACCATGGGCTGAATTTCAACACCCACTTTTGCCTTAATCCTCCCTTGTTCAAGGTACAGTTTGTACAATATAAAAACAGCCTTGGGTCTGAATGGATTATTTTATCTTCATACTTTAAATATTAGAGGTAAACACAAAAACTAGTTTATTTAAAAAATTAATAGAGTTTTATATTTCTTATTAAGCATTATATAAGTATTAAATTACTTGGGCAGATAGATAATAATGCCAACTTTAACTTCATAAAAAAGTCATTTAAAATGACACTCACTAGATGCTACAGACTGAATGTTTTTGCCACCCCACCCTACCCCCAAAAATTATAAACTGAAACCTATTCCCTAATGTGATAGTATATGGAGATGAAGTCTTTGGGAGATGATTAGGTCATGAGGATAGAACCTGCATTAATGGTATTAGCACCATTATAAATGAGACTCCAGAGAGCTCCTTTGCCCTTTGTCATGTGAAGATGGTGCCTTGATCTTGAATTTGTCAGCCACTAGAACTGTGAGAAATAAATGTTTGTTATTTAAGCCACCCCTTCTGTGGTATTTTGTTACCTGTTATGGTCTTAATGCTTGTGTCCTAAAAGAAATTCATATTTTGAAACCCTAATGCCTGGTGTGATGGTATTATGAGGTGGGGCCTTTGAGAGTTAATTGGGTCATGAGAGCAGAACTCTCATGAATTAGCTTAATGCTCTTATTTAAAAAGCTGAGATAGCTCCTCTGCCTTTTCTGTCATGTGGAAATACAATAAGAAATCTGGAGCCCAGAATATGCCCTTAGCCCACAATGTTGGCACCCTGACCTCAAACTTCCACCCCAGAGCTGTTAGAAATAAATTTCTGTTGTTTATAAACTAGCAAGCCCCTCATATTTTGTTAGAACAGTACGGATGGACTAAGACACATTCCAAATTAAAAACAAAACAAAACACTAGTTTAATTACTTCTAATATTAACAATATGGGATTATAATAATTTTTTAAATTAAAAAATGCTGTCTTATATAAAATAAGCTTATAAGTATTGATAGGAAGAATTCTAAGGTGGCCATCAAGATCCCCATCTCTAGTGTTATGCCCTGTATAATCCACTCCCTGGTACATACCTATTCATTGCTTCTAGCCAATAGAATACAACAAAATGATGAGATGCCACTCCCATGATTAGATTGGATTATACAGCTAAAGTAACAAGATGTCACTCCCATGATTGTATTATATTATATAAAACTCTGTTTTTGCAAACATGAGAGACTCTTGACTGGCCTAACGAAAAAAAGCGGCTCTGATGTAAACTGCCTATGAAGATGACCACATGGCTGAGTATCTTAGTCCTACAACTGTAAGAAACTGAAGTTTGCCACATTCACTTGAACTGGGAAGAGGACCTCATGTTAAAGAATGGAGTAGAGTATGGCCAAAACCTTGATTGCAGTTTGGTGAGTGAGAATAGGACATAACTAAATCATGCTCAGACTCCTAACTCTCTCAAAGTGTGGAACAATGTAAGTTGTTTTAAGTTGCTAAATGTGTGGTAACATATTATTCAGGAGTAGAAAAATAATAAAGTTTTACATCCAATATTGCAAGCAGTGCTCTCATTTTCTTTCCAAATTTATGTTATCTGATTCATTCTTGAATCATTCAGGTACCTACTGTGGGACAATTAACTCTAACCACTCACTAAACTGGATGGTACAATGCTCTGATGGTTATTATGAAGTTAAACTGTAACAAAAGGAAGTTCTCCATAATGAAGATGAAATAAAAGGGTTACTTGTACTCCTTTTATTAGATCACATGAAAATGAGTGAGCTGCATAATTTACAATTTCTGGAGAACTTTTCTAATTTACTTACCTCTTTTTTGAGACTGATAGGGCAGCTATTGTTTTATCCACCCTACTAATGGAAAATAGGAAGTTTAAGTAGATTAAAGGGACTTGTTGAATAGTATGGTGATTGTGTGGGGAAAGAAGAGTAAGATAGAATACAGTAAAGGGGGATAAATGGTGATGGGGGAAAATAAAATTTTTTAAAATGCATGATATATCTTTGTAAGAACAAGCGATTAATTATTTAGCTGGTTCTCTATTAATGGATATTTGCTTAGATCCAGAAAACAAAAGGGACTTGTCTAATGTCACATAACTAGTAACTCCCTGTTGACTCCCAGTATGATGTTCTTTCCTCCATGATATTGCCTATGGTTGAGTAAACCATGATTTTCATGACCTTGACAGGAAACATACCTAGATTTACCATTTTATTTTCTGAAGTTTACTAAGAAATGTCTACCAACAAGAAAAAAAAAACATCTTAGGAAGAACTTTAGAACATGCATATATACAGACATCCACACACCTATATTCACGTACATACTAATGGTGTCTATACATATCATTCTCAGAGCACTTATTAATCAAACTTAGAGGCATGGTGAGAGTGTATTACCTTGGCTTTAAGGAACTCTTCCATTTTAAGCTGTTTCCTATAATTAAAAATGTTTTAAAATAGGTCATGATAATTTTAAATTACATGACTACTTTGCTTTTGGGGGAATACTTAAACCCTTTATTAAAATAAAAATTTTCTAAAAAATGTATATTTTAAAAGCCATAAAATCCATATAGGTTAAGTGATAAGTAACTGAATAACATTTCTCAAACTAACTTTTCATTGGTATGATTAAAATGTGGAAAGATGATATGGGGTAAGGATTTTCAAAGTACATTGGTCCATATTTTCTTCTCTGGTTATTTTGTCTTTGTTAGGTCAAAGATCAAGGTCATTTGTCCAATGAATTTCTTTTTAGAATCTGTGGAGCTGTATGAACATGGAATTTGTAATTTCTTTTTCAACTGTATATTTATATTAGGGTTTCACCAATCCAATTCAAAATGCAAAAGTTATTTTATATTACTAAAGAAAATATTACTTAATAAGACCAGTTTATAAAATCTACACACATTAAAAAATAGATAATTATTTCCATAAAATAAGTACAATGAAGAATTTCAGTAAAGCCATAGCCAAGTGCCTCAGGTGGTTGGAGTGTCATTCCCAACACCAAAAGTTTGCATTTTTGATTCCCAGTCAGGGCATATACCTAGGTTTTTGGTTCGATCCCCAATCAGGGCACAAATGGGAGACAACTAACTTATCAATGTTTCTCTCTTACATCGATGTTTCTCTATCTTTCTCCTTTCCTCCCTTCCTCTCTCTCTAAAATCAATTTTAAAAAATATCCTCCGATGAGGATTAAAAAAAAAAGAAGAAGTTCAGTTAAAAAAAATACATAGTCCATTCCCTGGCCTGTTTGGCTCAGCGATTAGAGCATCAGTCTGTTGTCCAGTGAGACCCGGGTTCGGTTCCGCTAAAGGCATGTAACTCAGTTGCGGATTGTCCCCGGCCCTGGTTGGGTCATGCGGGTGGCAACCACTCAATGTGTCCCTTTCATGTCGATGTTTCTCTCTGTCTCTCTCTCTTTCTTTCCCTTCCACTTTATCTGAACAAAATATGGAAAAGTGTCCTTGGTGAGGATTAAAAAAATATACATAGTCCAGACTAGGGAGTTAATGTACAAATTACAAATAATTGGCCATCAAGGACACAATGTAAATTTTTTCCCATAAATTATTTATAAATTTAATTCTGTTTGCCTGTTACTAAATATCTTGTAGTTCATTCTCCTCCTCTTATGTCCATGCTTCCCTTCTCAGCCTTCTCTCACAATCATATCCTTGTTTGCTTATAAAATTATATACAGTTATGCAACACTAATAACAAGAATACATTCAAAAAAATTCATTGTTAAGCAATTTCATTACTGTGCTGACATCAGAGAGTGCACTTACATAAACCTAGATGGTATAGCCAACTACATACCTAGGCTATATGGCATAGCTATTGCTCCTGGGCATGTTACAGTACTGAATACTGTACGCAATTGTAATACAATGGTACTTGAGTACCTACATACATCTAAATATAGAAAAAGTACAGTAAAAATACAGTATAAAAGATTAAAAATGGTACACCTGTGTAGGTCAATTAATCATAAATGGAGGTTGGAGAACTAAACGTTGCTCTGGGTGGGTCAGTGAGTGAGTGGTGAGTGAACATGAGGCCTAGAACATTACTGTACCCTACTGTAGACTTTATAAACACTGTACATTTATGCTACACAAAATTTATAAATAACCTGAGATTAAAATTATGCAATTAAGAGATACAGTAACATTAATATGTATGAGTTGCTGCCAGCATGACACGGCATACTGTTTTACAGTAAATAATTTTTTCTAAGTAAAAAGATTACACTCAGAAATAACAATAAAAAGTACATTAGTAAATACATAAACCAGTAACATAATCATTTATTATCATTATCAAGTATGATGTACTGTACATGACGGTATGTGCTATACTTTCACATGGCTGGCAGTGCAGTAGGTTTGTTACACCAGTATCAACGCAAACACATGAGTAATGTGATGTACTATGATATTACAACACCTACAGTGTCACCAGGTGATAGGAATTTTTCAGCTTTATTAAAATCTTATGAGACATTGTCATATATGCAATCTGTTGTTGACCAATATGTTGTAATGTGGCTCATGACTATATTTGCTAATGTTATTTTTAAGAAACCTATTAATAAGTTATATTTATATTACCTCAAATTACTTGTATAAAATAAAAATATAAAATAACAGGAAAAAATATTCGCATATATTTTTATGTCTTACGCTTCTGAATCCTCAGATTTTTCTTTGGCTTTTTTCTTCTCCATTTTCATAGTTTTCTTTGTCCGATCATATGTAGACTTTGTTGTCTGTGTAATTTTATATAAAACAGAAAATGTTAATGAGACAATAAATTATAGGAAAACATACGACAATATACATTGCTAAGATTTCCATTTTACTTTTAGAATCACTGTACTTATTTTCAAGGAAAATTATCTGAATAGAAGCAAAAAAATTAATGATATATATAAAACATTTATTATAGTGCTTTATAGAACATAAGTTGTATATAAATTAATACATATCAAAGTAATTAAATTTCCCTAATAAATTACAGTCAGTTCTTCTATAATATGACATATACCTTCATGAAAACCACCTCATTATAAAAAACCATGCAGTACAAACTGCAGGATATATGGGGACACAGGGTTAGGTGCACAGCAAACAAAAACGTTGTCAGTGATACATTTTTTAAAATGGCAATCTAATAAAACATTAATAAATTTTATATAGTTATAATTAAGAAACATGTATTATGAAAAATATAGCTCTTTATCTTGAAAACAGCATGAATGTTGTTTGTGCAACTGAGCTTTGAATAGGTTGCAACTTGTGAATTATTCTGTAGTGTTGGAAAGTAAGCTACCTGAAACTAAATAAAAAGTTGTAACACCAGATGTGGACTAGTATTTTACACTATGTACATAGTGAACTAAAGTAGCTTGTAGATGCTCTTTTTGGCCTTCAGCTATACTTTTTGCAGATAAAATTGTGCATAAGCAAATATAAAATTCACAATATGCTCAGATTGTTCAACTGTGTTAAAACAAATTTGCATTTCAAAACAAATATTATAGCACTACTGACCACATGTTTTAAAGTATTCTTGATCTACTACATATTACAAGATTATTTTATCCTAAAAAGTAGAGAAAAAAACTTAACAATTAGATTATTGAAAATGTTAGATGTGCTTAATAATAGAGACCTACTAAAGTATTAGGTGGTTATTTCCTATTTCAGACCACAACTTCCAACAGATATCAAATTCATGACAGTGGAAAGGTTCTCATAAGTTAAACACAAAGTGTAACAATTTCTCATAAAATATGGAAAATAAATATAATGATGAATTCTTAATGAGAATTAAGAATATAATATTATGCCCTGGCCAGTTGGCTCAGTGGTTGGAGCGTTAGCCTGTGGACCAGAGAGACCCGGGTTCGGTTCCCACTAAGGGCATGTACCTCAGTTGCAGTTTGTCCCCAGTCCTGGTTGGGGTCACGTGGGTGGCGGCCACTCAGTGTATCTCTCTCACATTGATGTTTCTCTTTCTCTCTTCCCTCTCTCTCTCCCTCCTGCTCTATCTGAAGATAAATCCAAAAGCGTCCTCAGCTGAGGATAAAAAAATAAAATAAAAAGAGAATATAATACTATTATTCTAATATTTTCTGGCTTAAATATGAGTCTTTGGATATACTTAGTATCAGAAAAGTCTAATATATATTGGCAATCAAAAATACTAAAATAATGAAAGAAAAAAAGACTAAAATATAATGAACAGATCATGAATGACCAGTAGGAAAATTTCAAGTGGACTAATGTACTTTTAATTGGAGTTCATGATGGAAAGAAGGGATAGGGAAAATAAGTATTTAAAGAAATAATGTCAATTTTTTTTTTCAAATTTGAGGAAAACTACCCACAAAGCCACAACAATACAAGAAAAACTACTCCAAGACACATCATAATAAAAGTATTTAAAAGCAGCAATAAAATCTGAAAAGAATACAGAGGAGAAAAGCAGAATACATACAAGAATAAGGAGGACAGAAGACTTCTTAGCAGAAACAATGCAAGCAAAGGAGCAATATCTTTAAAGTAGTGGAATAAAAAATGTCAGTCTGAAATTTGTTATCCAGAAAAACTACCTTTCAAAACTGAAGGCATAAAAAAATTTGTTTTGTTTTTAGAAATCAAAGAGTTGAAAGTGTACATCACTAGCAAAGCTGCACAACAACAACAACAACAAAAGATAAAGAATCCTTCAAGCAGAAGAAAAATGGTACCAGACATTAACAAGAAATACACAAATTCAAGAAGATTGCATGAATAAATATAAAGACTATTTTTCTTATTCTTAAAATTTCTTTAAAAGGTAATAGTTTACAGCAAAATTAATAACAATGTGTTGTGCTGTTTCTATTATATGTAGTAAAACATATGATATGCATGAAAACAACAATACAAAGACTGGAAAGGGACAAATAAAACTCCTATTTTAAGGTTCGTGTATATGAAATGATTTAATGTCACTTGAATATAGACTGCACTTCACTAAAAACAAGATGGTAAACCTTAAAGTAACCAATAAAGCAACCAACTGAGCAGCAAATATAAAGTAATACAGATTTTTCTACCTGGAAGTGGGTGTTGTTATAACAGACAACTAAAATTTTTGGAAATGGATTTGGAATTGAGCAGTAGATAAAGGCTGGAAGAATTCTGTGGAGCAAATTTGATATACAGGTTTAGTGCAATGATAGAATATGAAATTTTAACTCTAAAATTTGCATAGAAGTACAAAGGCTAAATATAAATAACTTAATTTTAAGTTACTTTTATTGGGGTAACATTGGTGAATAAAATTGGTTTCAAGTACACAATTCTATGATACATTATCTGTATAATGCATTGTGTGCCCACCACCCAAAGTAATATCTTTTGTCACCATATATTTGACCCCCTTTACCTTTTACTATCTCCCCAACTTGCTTGTCACTGGTAACCACCATACCGTTGTCTGTGTGTAAGAGTTTTTGTTTGCTTGTTTTTCTTGTTTATTCATTTGTTGCTTTCAGTTTTATACCCTACATATGCGTGAAATCATATGGTTCTTAACTTTTTCTGTCTGACATTTCGCTTAGCATAATATTCACAAGATGCATCCATGTTGTCACAAATGGCAGTGTTTCATATTTTCTTATGGCTGAATAGTATTTCATTGTATATACATATAATAAATAACTTCTTATTGAAAAAACAATAAGGTGAGTTGACTTAAAATAACAGGCCTTATTCTAAATTTTTAATCATTAAGGATTGCATACATTGGTGTAAGAAGAGACAAGGACAACGGCACAGAACAGAAAGAACAAAAACAAATAAGCAATAATATATTCTTTAAGCAATAATAGTTTGTGGCAACAGCATACTAAAACATATCTTTTTAGGGGATCCTAGTTAGGAAGCTAAAGAAGAAAGCCAGGTGATAGCAGAAATGGAGTAAAGAAGGAGTCAGCAAATTGTAGGCCAAATCTGCCCCGCTGCCTTTTTTTTTGTAAATATTTACTGCAACACAGCCCTGCTCATTTATTTATGTATTGTCTAGGGCTATTTTCATACTACAGAAGCAGATCTGAGTAGTTGCAACAGAGATGGTGTGGTCTGCAAAACCTAAATATTTATCTAGCTCTTAGAGTAAAAGGTTATTGATTCTTGGAATAAGAGGTAAGATAGTCATTAGAGAAACTTTACCAAGCACAATAAACACCAAATATTTGCACCCAGTATCCTTTAAAAAACAAAAACAAAAAAAAACAAAAAACAGCACTACATTTTAGGTTCTGCACCTCCCTCATCTCAAATTGTCCCACTGACATTTGACCCAAGCAAAGCCAATAAGATCTAATCACCTAAGAACTGTCTATTATGGAAGGAAAGCAGTTTGGAGGTGAGTACTCCCAGAGCCAGTATACAAAGAAATGGAGGGAAATATCCATAAGTTCCCTCTCTGATAATTCCCTAAAATGACAGATGTAGTGGTTGTCCATGAACTTCTATTATTTTGACTTCAAGAATTGCCCTGGGTCTGTACCTCACCAAACATGTTTAAATTCCCTTCAACTCTTTGAATTACTGATCCAATAAATGTCTTGCTTTAGATAGTCAGGGTCAGTTTCTCCTACTTCCAGTAATAAGAATAATAATACCCTTAACTGACACAAGAAACTACTGATTACCATTTGGCAGAAAAGGTTAGAAATTAAATGTGGCTTTTGATTATTAAAATTGGTTGTTCAAAAATAAAAGTATTAAAGGAGATAAACTTAAGAACAGAAGCCTACTTTTGAATAAAATTGATTTATTTGTTATCAGAAATCCTAAATTTGACATAATTCTACAGCCTTTATTCTCTTCCCGCCATCATATTACAACTCTGTTCTCTGCAAACAAACTCTCAGACATCCTGGTTTTTGTCCTCATGTGGGTATAATACTACTACTATGCATGGAGAAATGATCCTTCCAAATTTCTCCTTCACATTTCCACACTTCTTTAGGTTTCCACACACAAAACCTTAAAGAAACAATACAAGAAAGCAAAACCAGAAACTATTGCAATATTTTCAAGTTATCTAAGAAGCTTCAATTTTTAAATTTTTATTTTTAAATAACAGTTTACATACAATATTATACTAGTTTCAGGTGAACAATATAGTGGTTAGACAATTATCACCCTGATAAATCTAGTACTCATTTGACACCATACATAGATTTTACAATATTATTGACTATATTCCCTATGCTGTACTTTACATCTCCATTACTATTCTGTAACTACGAATTTGTACTTCTTAATCCCTTCCCCCTTTTCACTCATCCCCTAATCCCTTCTTATCTGGTAACTGTCAAAATATTCTCTGTATCTATGAGTCTGTTTCTGATTTGCTTGTTCATTTGTTTTTTGGATTCCACATATAAGTGAAATTATCTGGTATTTGTCTTTCTCTGTCTGATTTATTTTATTCAGCACAGTACCCTAAAGGTCCATCCACATTGTCACAGATCTTGTCACAAAAATTTCATTTTTTATGGCTGAGTCATAATCCACTGTATTGATGTACTACTTCTTCATTATCCTTTCATCTATTTATTGTTGTTGTTGTTGTTGTTATTAATCCTCACCCACTGATTTTTAGATAGAGTAGAAGGGAGTGAGGAAGAGAGAGAGAGAGAGAGAAACATCAATGTGAGAGGGACACATCGATTGGTTGCCTCCTGCACAATCTCGACCAGAGCTG